ATCACTGATGGCCCTCGGCCTCAGCGTGACTCCACATCACAACGCCCCTCGACCTCAGCATGACTCTACGTCACAACGTTTTTGGCCTTAGCATGATTTCACATCACGAACGGCCCTCGGCTTCAGCGTGACTCTACATCATGAACGGCCCTTGACCTAAACGTGATTCTACATCACCAACGGCCCTCGGCCTCAGCATGATTCCGCATCACAACGGCCTTCGGCCTTACATCTCTCCGACATCAAATATTTGATATCGGGGCCATCATACAGGCCCCTCGGCCTTCGCTCCTTCGGCATCTTTATTTGATGCTGGGGCTATCTGTAACACCCCCATTTTTTTCGCCCAAAATAATACCTTAAATAATAATATATTGATAAAAATCTTGATTTATTCCTTAAAAATAGATAGAGTTTTGCAGCGGAAATAACAGTAATGGAAAAAGGGTGTGTTACCGCCACACCCAGCCCTCAACTTGGCTGGATGTTAAGGCTATCCACCATGAGTTCAACCGAATTAAAAACTTGAATTCAAAATCTACTAGCATTATTTAATCTAAGTGAAGACTACACTAAATTCTTCTAAAGCGCTCTCCAGGTTCATCAAACATCATGAGCTTCGTATTCATCATTACCTGCACAAATAAAGTGCAGAAAACGAAACAAAGAAAAGGAAACAAAAATTAGCTTTAGAGCTAAGTAAGTACTACCCAACCCCGTAAAATAATCAGGTTTGGCGAAAATAATTTTTCATATAATATTATATAAAAATACTCACACCACCGAAATTCTTTTCCAATCAAAAACATCATTTATCAACTTTATAATCTCAAATACCCGTATAATTAAAAATAATATTTATAAGCTCCCAACAATTAATTAATATCTCAAAAGAAGTATCACTTTTCAAAAATAACTTTTGAAGCTAAAAATATCACCATTCCGAAATCAATGTCACTTTCAGATTCTTTTAAGATGGGCGAAACTCAAGATTCCTCGAGCCCAATGAATCGTTGTTGTGTACGACTCATCCCGGGGCGAAACTCAAGATTCCTCGGCCTTTATCCCTCCGACATCTTTATTTGATGTCGGGGGCCATCACACAGGCCCCTCGGCCTTCATCCCTCCGGCATCTTTATTTGATGCCAGGGGCTATCATACATGCCCCTCGACCTCCATCCCTTCGGCATCTGTATTTGATGCCAGGGGCTCTCACACAGGCCCACATGGCCTTGCACCCCTCCGTCACCATTATTTGATAACGGGGGGTCCTTACAGGCTCTTCAGCTTTTTCATGCAGGATCTAAGGCTGGTCTTGGATATCCCCTCAGCAGACGGACACAACCACCGCTCAACAATCTAGGCCGAAGGGTGCATTCCTTTTGCTTCATTCTGGGGGCATCCGGTGTACTCTTTTTCCCTCATTAGGATTTTTTCCCACAGGGTTTTTTTCCTAATGAGGTTTTTAACGAGGCATCTCCCCATTGTGGATCAAAAGGTGTCACCCCTCGGCGGCTCCTGCTGAAGGCATCCATCACTCTACTCCTGTTTCCCTCGAGAAACTCTCAGCAAAAGGAGTGGGGGACTGGGGGACTCCCCTCGGCGAAACACGCAAATGTTAAAAAATTTCTATTTCTCAACTACACCAAGCTGATGCAAGATCACAACGACAATCTGATGGTCCCGGATAGGGTAAAAGTCTAGAGGGGGGGGGGTGAATAGACCTTTAAATCTTTTTCAACTTTAAGGTGTTTTCCCTCTAAAGAGTTAATCTATAATCTTTTGAGAGATTTATAGATGCACAGCGGAAGTCTTTACCCTTTATGAAATAAGTGTATAACTACTTTCTAACTTGGAAAAGATTTGACTTAGATAGCTAGCAGTTGGCTTGGCAGTTGGCTTAGTAGCAGGGAACTGCTGAGGCAACTTCTAGAGAGATATTGACTTTATGATGAAAGAGATTATGGAATATTGTTTAGAATGATGAGGGCTGTCTGAAAAGGTGCTTTAGTAGGAGTAAAGCGACGTTTTACTGGAGCAGTGATTTCAGCAGTTGGGTGGTGATGAGGGAAATGCTGAGCCACCTGCTTAGGTTATAAGAAGGATTTTAAGCAAAACTTCTTATTGATGATGTTATGAGAGTCTAGTGATGTTGAGATGTTCAAGGGAAACAAGTGTATATGAGCAGAGGGCTCAGCAGTTGGGTGGTCACCAGGGGACTGCTGAGGCATCTGCTATACTTAGAAAATGAATTTCTCGAAACTAATAGAACATGGCTTTTAGTGATATTGATGCACGTCTCTTGTGTGAAAATGATCTCAAAGAAAGTAAGTAATTAAGCAGTAGGGTCAGTTAAGAAAACTGCTTAGGATTCTGCTGGCAAACTTCAATCTTTTTGTAAGAAGTGCTAAGTGTGTGCTTTGTTGAATGAATGTAAATCAACACACAGTGTATCCTGGTTCAGAGGTGGTGTAATCCTCCTACGTCCAGTCCCACCCTCTTTCAGATAGATTTCATTAAAGTATTCAGCCCAATACACTTAGTGCCAATCTAGCCTTTACAATACTTAGGCCTAGATCGAAGGTTTTTCACAATGAGTATAGCACCACTCAAAGTTACTCAATCCTTAGATTTTTCTCTAATGAATCAGTGGGGATCAAAAGGTACACTATCTATCTACCCACACTTTAGGATCCGAACAACTGTTCTCCTAAGTGTTTACAACAATTTGTGAAATGTTATAAGAAAGTTCTAACCTCCAACTAGGAACTAAACTTCTATGATTTAGCAATGAATAGCTTGTAAACTGGAAGTTTAGTGAAGCATGAGTCCAAGCAGAGAGTAAATTTTAGAATAACACTTTCTCTTTTGCTAGATAGCTCGTGAATGCTCGTGGAAGAATTTCTCTACTTTTGGATGCTCAAGATTGGTTAGAAACTTTTGTTTCAGCCTATATTTATAGGCTTCTCCTTTAGATTAATCTCATCCATTGGTTAGGATGAATTAATCCTTGACGTTGAAATTCTTGCAAGGACGAATTGTACATTCGTCTTCTTGTGTTGGAGCATTTATTGAGGCTGATCTTTGTCTTGAATAATTTGGCCGCTGAAAAATCACCTCAGGAGACAGTCCTATGTATCATACACTGCTCCGGACCTAGTACGTATTTATCATTAAATACCGGTCACATTTTTCTTCAATTATACATATTCAATGTATGTAATAAAAATGTGACATATAATTAATCTTTGAACTAGATAATATTTGCCGGTAGGATCTAAATATCCTATTAAGGTAAATGAAAATTACCTTATTGCATTTTTACTTTTCCGGTAATATTTCTTTAGTCTCGAAAATTGTACATTTATTTTTGTCACTAAATTTAAATGCTTTTATATGAGACACAATGTATATGTGCAAAGTGTAGTGGCATCATCAAAATCTATCAAAATTGGGTACTAACACAATCTACTCCCTTCAGCAAAAATAATCAAACTTGAAAATTCTTATTCTTCAGTTGCAGAAAGGGAGCCATCGGCAACTTCAAGACACTACTCCTATTTCCCTCGAGAAACTCTCGGCAAAAGGAGTGGGGACTCCTGATGGATTATATGGCCCGAGACACCCCGGCCCACAAACTTTTGCTTCTTCTACACAGGCCCATCAAGCCCGATGAGCACACAAAGCCAAAACGTAGCGGCCCAAGCATGAAGAAGCCCACGTTGCACACGTGAATGCCTTCGGCCCTATGGCTGAGGGCTCCAAATTCTGGGAGACATCTTGATATGGTCCTACAAAGCTTCTGGAAAATTCTGGCTAAAATGTTAGCCTTCGGCCACCCGATGCCTTCGGCCACACGATGCCTTCGGCCACCCGATGCCTTCGGCCACACGATGCCTTCGGCCACACGATGCCTTCGGCCACATGATGCCTTCGGCCACACGATGCCTTCGGCCACATGATGCCTTCGGCCACACGATGCATTCGACAACAAAACTATCGACAAAGATTCCTTTTAGAGACAGCCAGCCACTGCATTTAATACGACGTCACATCCACCCATCGCATTTAATGCGGTGCACATGCATATGTCGGTGCCACCCCGATTGAGGTGACCCCTCAGCCGTTAGATTGTTGACACGTGTACTCTCATCACATTTATAGCTGCTATAAATAGCAGCCTTTATTCACCTTTTAAAGGACAACGAGTTCATTTAATACATTTGACTCTCTCTCTTACTTACTTGCTCTGACTTCCCTCTGGGTACACTATCCATCATAAGGAAAAAACACTTAGAATTGAATAGTTAATCTATTTAATTATATTAATACTTGAATTTATGTATTAAAATGTTATATATAAAGAAGACATCGATAATCCGTCGTTCATCTCAATCTAATATATATATTGATATATTATAAGATCAAAGAATTTATGATTTATTGTATACACACATATGTATGTTGAAGTATATATATTTGCAGTATAATTTAAGAAAAAGTATGTATATACTTATATATTGAGCGGGTCACGACGGGGCGGCACAGATCAATACTAATACCCGGACCCACCCATTGTATAGGCGGGGTGAGATGGACCCACCCCATTTGCAAGACGGGGTGGGCCTGACCTGCCCAAATGTCTCGGGTCAGGGCGAGTCATTGCAGACGGTTTTTTTTTTGACATCCCTAATAAAAAACCGAATTTGAGTATTTAAAAATATGAGATGGAATAAGTTTACTTTTTGCCCCATTTGACAAATTGATGTACTCGGTTGAAACTACTCCCTCCGTTCCTATTAAAACTTTCAACTTTTCTTTTTAGTTTGTTCTAATTAAAATTTCCACTTTCCCTCTTTAGAAAAGAATTTGTGGTTCACAACATTTCTTACACATTTCTCTCTCCTCTACACAACTCTGACGCACGATAACCTGTGTAAAAAATCTATTTGGAAATAAAATAGGAAGGGAGGGAGTAGTACTTAATTCTTAGTACCTTAGGGAGTATTTGCTGCTAATTGGTACTCTCTGGCCTAGACTTCTGCTTTGATCAACTTTTCCAAGCAGGGAGGGGGAAAAGACAGAGCTCTCTGTGGAGACTGGAGAGGAAACTCAAAAGGCATGTCTCTGGGCTACGCAGAGAAGCTGTCTTACATTGAAGATGTTGGCAGCGTTGGGATGACGGAGTATTACGACACACCCCATGTTCTAGAGGAGAAAGTGAGATTCACATTCTCTTTCTCCGCCTTTTCTCGACTTTCCGTGCCTGCTTTCTTAGTTTCTTCTCTCCCTTTCGTGCTTTATTGATCGTATAATGTAACCTCAAGTGCATAAAAAGACAGTTAGGCTCTTGTGCTGAATCGCTAGTTGAGTTGGGATTGTTTATTTGGTAGGCTGGGGTTATTTGATGCTTTGTGCTCTACAGTATAATTTTCAGATTAGATCTGAGAAGGATGGTTGCATTGCTGATCGCTGCAATGCTTTGGGAAATTATAATCCTTGTACTCAGCGTTTAAATGGTCCGATAGTGAATGTGTAACAGGGAAAACATTAATTGTTTGTTGCTATGGAGGGATTCTGTGAAGTGGCTCTACTTATCTGATGTTACAATCGGTCGAACAAGAACATTAAGTTTTGGGTGTTCGAAGTTACTATATATTAATAAAATTTTGAACAATACTATTGTTTGATGCAAAAACTGGACACATTTTTTCCCTAAAAAATTTTATAAAAAAGGTAAGAAATATCATACTATAAATAAGTAAAATAAATTATTACGTTTGCTGATATTTTTGGGTGTTCACCTATGTTGCACGGAAACGTTAAAATCATGAGGAAACAGGAAACACCATTTTTTGCTCAAAAACAACTCTTTGGAGAGTTACCAAAGAGTTTCTGTAGAGCGTTCGAAACGGAAACTTACTCTTTCCTGAGATTCATAGGTGTTCTTATAAACATCCTTGCACTAGAGTATCTCCGTCACTAGAAATTAGTATAAAAGGGGTGAGGGTCTTATTCCTAACAACTTGAGGAGGCTTTTAGGGCCAGTTTGGTTGGGTGATTTCAGAGGACAGGGAAGGAGAGAATTGATTTTTTACTTTATTAATTTATGTGAATTTAGACTACAAATAGCTATATACGAAGTAATTAGTTAGACCATGTGTTTTTATATACTATTGTGTCTTCACTTTATTTCAAGTTTTCTAAATGTAAAAATTATTTTAAATTTAAATATGACCCTCCCCTTCCCTCTCTTCCAAAATCCCCTAATCAAACTGGCCCTTAAAGAACTGAGAGTGAGCTTACTCGAGAGATGATGGGTTCAAGAAGGCTTCTCATGTGTGACTGTGTGAGGAGAGATACTGTTTTTGTGAGATATGAGGTAGTGCAAAGATGATTTCTAAAGAGCGTGAGTGGAGTGGAAGAGAGCACACTATCCAAAAAAGGATTTTCATCGATGCAAGTGATTGAGGTATGGAAAAATAATCACAAATACAAAGAGTTGTATGAGCTACCTGTATTTTTATAGAATCCTTTTAGTAGATCTCACAATATAATAAAGCCAATTTTCTACATTGTGTCTTTTGTTACTGATTGAGTGTGTGAAAAGAGTACAAGAGTTTGTACAAGCTTGTGCATTGGGAGAGGTTAATTTTCTCAATAACTATTATTTTAGAGTGTTGAATTGACAAATAAGTAAATAACTAATTCTACGGGAAAAGCAAGATGACTACTGCATTGTGTTATACCTCCTGTACATGATGGCATGAGTGCATTGATCTTGCTCTCACCATTGGCTTTTGAAGTTTGAACTGGATCACTACTTAAGTACTTAGTACTTACATTATTATATCTCCCGGGAATCTGTGTAAAGAATAGGTTAAATGGGAGGATAAATGGCTGCTACTTATTTGATCATATTCTTCTTGCGAAGAGGATAAGATACAGAAAAATTGCTTTTTTCATCATTTGGAAACTGAAAATCCTTTTAAAATCAATTGTATGTTTTACTTATAATGAATAAGATGAAAGGATTTGCTCAGAAGCTGTCTATTGCTCTTACTCTTTTAACATAATTTGTTCTCTTTGTTTTGGGATGCAGGCTGAGAGGCTTGCATTGATGATTAAAAAGGTGGGCCTTTTTCAATAATGTAGTGTATTGTGTAGGTGTGTATTTCTTTTTTAAGATATGGATCCTTTTTATGATTCGTCATCCACTCAAACTATTTTGATGATATTGTTATACAGAGTAAGCATTTAGTGGTGTTTACCGGAGCAGGAATATCTACTTCATGTGGTATACCCGACTTTCGTGGTCCGAAAGGTATCTGGACTCTCCAGGTAATGGAGTGAAATGTTTAAGGAGTTAGACACTGTTCTTAACTTGATTATATTACTCTATCTACATGGTAGAGTTTCTTCTGACCTATTCTAAACTGGAACTTGTTAAAAGTTCAAAAGGAAAAATAATCTTGAAGAGCCCCTCTCTCTCTTTTCATGGTTGATGAGTGAACTACTTTTAAATCAATGAGCATGACGGCTGAGAAAAATGAAATACTGATGCGAAAAATTGATATTTTGAATAAGTTTTATTATATTCACCACAATCCATCTAGTCAACTGAGGCTGCATGGTTATTTTGGAATTTAATTATATCTTGTTTATACTTATCTATTGTTGGAATGCATGCAATTTGTTTGTGTGCTGTACCAGACATAATTGAGAAGATTTTCAAGACAAGAAGTATGTGAGCTGTGTTGTATTTTAATGTTTTATATCCATTTTTTTCTAGAAAGAAGGAAAAACTATGCCAGAAGCATCATTGCCATTTCACCGTGCAATGCCAAGCATGACCCATATGGCCTTGGTTGAATTGGAGCAGGCTGGCATCCTAAAGTTTATTATTAGCCAGGTGGGCTATTCTGTGTTGTTCTCATACTCAATCCCCATCATGTGTTCACAACTTGTTCCGCATATTTTTTTATTAACTCAATATGTTGTTGCTTTGTACTTGCTGAAATTTTAGAATATTGACGGCTTACATCTTCGATCTGGTATTCCAAGAGAGAAACTTTCTGAGTTGCATGGAAATTCATTTATGGAAATTTGCCCTTCATGTGGAGTTGAGTAAGGCTTACAATTTGTCTGCAACTTGTGACTTTATAATTGACTTTTCATACATAGTTTGCACTTTCATCACTCCTTGAAATTTAATGAATTTAATATGTAAAGGTATATAAGAGACTTTGAAGTAGAAACAATTGGACTGAAGGAGACAACACGGAGTTGTACAAAAGCGGGTTGTGGTGCTAGGCTTAGAGACACAGTTCTTGATTGGGAGGTAATGCAAAAAGACTATTTATGCAAAGTTCTTATTTGTAATAACTACTAGTTAATTTATTGAATCTCCTGCAAAGTTTATGGTCATTTGTTGGGACTTGGGACCATGTTTCTTGTCAATTGGATTTTGACATTTTGTGAACTTTGTAATGTACCCTTTGGTAAATCTGTTTTAAATGATAGATTTAGCGAAATATCTGTTTGTGTTGTGCAATATATTTATAATAGTTAGGACATTAAGATTAGATAAATAAAAAAGACTACAACGGAATTGTAAATGTGGTAATCCAAGTACTTTTTTATTTTTTAACTACCTCTTTACCGTGTTTTTGAACTAGGCAATATTGGATTATACCATGACCGATGTGTAAGCAGACTTTTAGTTTGTGCATACCTGTTCATTCAACAGTTTAAAACAGATGGCATTTGAAGGATTTACACCTTCACATTTTTTCTGTTGCAATGATAAACAAAATGTTTTGAGTAATGAACAGAAGAGCAAGTGGGTTCACATTTAAAGTACATCCTTGCTCTTGTTGTAATTTTTCTGTTAATAGAGAAAAATGTCCCTCTTCCTGTGCCTAAATGAGATCATAATTGAATGTGCCATTTCATTGTTGATCTTATTATGATTTCAAACACCATTTTCCCTACCTCAGGATGCCTTGCCCCCAAAGGAGATAAATCCAGCAGAAAAGCATTGCAAAATGGCTGATCTTGTGTTATGCTTAGGTACAAGGTAATACGCACAACCACCTTACATCTAACACATTCTTTGATTTTCTTGGTACAACTTTCCCATGCTTCTCCTCCTTTATGCTATGAACCTGGGATGGTTGGTTGTCAAAAAAGAGTTAATAAATAACAATTTGAGCGCCACTCTATCACATCAAGCTGATATGAGACACTATTTTGTAACATATGGCTACTATTTTCGTAAAAAGCTGTCTCAGAAGTGGTCATAATATTGTATCATTATTTAACACAATTTTAGTGATTTAAGATTACTATTGACTCTTGTTACGTTTATAGTTTGCAGATAACTCCTGCATGTAATTTGCCCCTTAAATGCCTCCGGAATGGAGGGGAAATAGTAATAGTAAATCTTCAGGTAGTTCTTATATTCATTTCACTGTTACTTTCAGCTTGTCTTTATTATCACTGTCTCACTGGCTTATACGAAGTATATGAAGCAAGATATCCGATCTTAGATGTGTAGAAGAATAGGGAATATACTGCACACTTGATTTTATGCTGTTAAATACTCTTCATTATATTTTACTTGCTCCACTTGCTTTTATGGAATTTTTATTTTTTATTGCTTGCTCCGATTTCTTTTATTGGCATTTATAAATGTATTAGAAGCCGTAAATGCCCTTACTTTTTCATCTTTTATTTCTTACATTTTCTACCTTTTCACCTTCTCTCCCACCTCATTCTTTCTACACTATACACTATCCCTTGAAATTTATTTTTAAACTCCGTGAAAAGATGAGTGGAGCAAAGTAAAGATTAGCAGAGGGGAAACCTTGACTTTTATTGATGTGACTTTGTACTTTTCAAGACTATTGCATTGTTTGTACATAGAAATAATTGGTCTAAATCTACTACTAATAGGAAACCTTAAACGTAAGCCTTATGGGAATAAAACCCACAAGATATACCACTACTAAGCCTGCGATTTTCACCATGGGTCATCCGGAAACAGTCTCTCTGACTCTCTGAGCTTTAGTACAGGGGATAAGGTTTCGTACATCCGACCCCCCTTACCCTACCGTAGGTGGGAACCTTTGAGGCATTGGAGTAATGATGATGACAAAAGCAAGAGACGCTACAAAGCAACTTTTCTGATAAGAACCTCACAATTCACAGAAATAATCACAGGAATATGAACAGAATGCATAAGAAACCAAAACTTTATTAACAATGGTGAACCGTGTACAGAGTCCCAAAGAAGGAGATAAAACTCCAACTTCCCAGTCCCAGACTCAAAGTCTAAACAGCCTGCCTTCCCTCTGCAGCTTTATGCTATTTATAGCCTTCTAAAATAGAAGGTAGTTATTAGTTACAACCGACCCCGACTAATAACTAACTAGTCTACTTTGGCTTTCTAGAATAGACCTGCCCATAGAATCTATCTTTATTAAGTTGACTAGCGGGTTCCTTATCAATACCCCCTCTTGCACTACCAACTTGCCCTCAAGTTGAAGGTCAGGGAATTGATCTTGGAGCACTTCAATTTCCTCCCATGAATCTTCAAAATCAGGAAGACCCTTCCAATGTACAAGGACCTCCTGCTTCCCTTCCTGATTTATCCTGCTGTCTCTCACCAGTTCAGGAGTCACTGGTAACTCACAATCTTCTGTGAGACACTCTGGGAGGCTTTGATAAGTCATTGTAGGTTTCAGCACCTTCTTCAGCAAGGAAATATGGAATACTGGATGTATTCTGCTACCTTCAGGTAGTCTGAGCTTGTAAGCCACATGGCTTATCTTTTTTGCAATGTCATAAGGGCCATAAAATCTTGGGCTGAGCTTTTGGTTAATCTTCTTAGCCAAACTTTTCATCTTATAAGGTTGTATCTTTAAAAAAACCTTATCTCCTACTTCCAATTCCTCTTCCCTCCTGTGCCTATCAGCTTGCTGCTTCATCAAATTCTGAGCTTTAGCTAGGTTCTCCTTCAATTCAGTCAACAATAAGTTCCTTTCAGCTGTCATTTTGGCCACTTCATCCAATGAAGTCAGGCTAACATCACCTCTGATGATAGAAGGAGGTGGTTTGCCAAACAAAGCCTGGTATGGAGTACTCTTCAATGAATTGTGGTAGTTAGTATTAAACCAGTATTCTGCCCAGGGAAGCCATTTCACCCACTGTCTAGGCTGTCTCCCACTCAGACACCTTAAGTAGGTCTCAAGACACCTATTGACCACTTCAGTCTGCCCATCACTTTGAGGGTGATATGCAGTGCTGTACTTCAGTTTTGTTCCTGCTAGTTTGAACAATTCTGACCAGAATGAACTCAAAAACAAGCTATCTCTATCACTGACAATTGATCTGGGAAACCCTTGTATCTTTACTACCTCTTTGATAAAGATTTCAGCAACCCCTTTGGCATTAAAAGGATGTGCCAAAGGTATGAAGTGCGAGAATTTAGTCAATCTGTCAACCACTACTAAAATAGTGTCCTTACCCTGAGATTTTGGTAGCCTACCAATGAAATCCATACCTATATCAGTCCAAACATGGTCTGGTATGGGTAATGGCTGTAATAATCCTGAAGGCTTCAAAGCTTGGTATTTGTTCCTCGGACATATTTCACATCCTTTTATATAGTCCTTGATATCAGATTTCATCCCTTCCCAAAAGAACAGGCCAGATATTCTCTTCATAGTCCTGAAATATCCTGAATGACCTCCCACTGCAGAATCATGATACTCCTTGAGAAGATCGAGTATTCTTGGAGATCCTTTTGGTAGTACCAATCTCCCTTTGTAGTATAACAATCCTCCTCTCATCTGGTAATTCATGCACTGATCTGGTTGTATTACCATATTCTGTATAACCTCCACCCACTTGGGATCTTTTTCTAATTCATCTCTTAGCCCTTCCCATTCTTGACAGGTCACAGTAGAGAGTGCCACAAATGTGGATTTCCTAGAAAGGGCATCAGCAGCTTTGTTTTCAATCCCTGGTTTGTATTTAATGGTAAAATTGTATCCCATGAGCTTGGCTATCCATTTTTGCTGGTCTTCTTCACCCATCATCTTCTGCTCAGTGAGGTATTTCAAACTCCTTTGATCAGTATGAACCTCAAAGTTCCTTAGGCTCTCCACTTCTGTATGGCAAACACAATGGCCATTAACTCCTTCTCATACACAGATTTGGTAATATGTTTGGGTGATAATTCCTTGCTCATGTAGGCAATAGGACCCCCATCTTGCATGAGTACAGCCCCCAAACCTTTACCAGATGCATCAGTTTCTATCACAAATAGTTTATCAAAATCTGGAACCCTCAGAACTGGAAGTGAGACCATAGCTGCCTTCAGTTTATTGAAAGATTGAGTAGCCACTTCAGTCCACTTAAACCCATCCTTCTTCAGTAATTGTGTGAGGGGTGCAGCAATTCTGCTATATCCTCTCACAAACCTCCTGTAATACCCAGTGAGACCTAGGAATCCCCTGAGTTCCTTCAAATCTTTAGGTTCAGCCCAATTCTGCATAGCACAGATCTTTTCAGGATCAGCTGCTACACCCTCAGCAGATATAATATGTCCCAGGTAACTTAAATGCCCTTGTCCAAAAGAACATTTCTTCAAATATACCACCAAGTCACCAACTGATTGTTATGTAAGGCCCCCAATACCATCCTCAAATGTTCCTTATGATCCTCCTTAGTCTTACTGTAGACTGGTATATCATCAAAGAACACCAGAGCAAATCTCCTCAAAAAAGGTCTCAATACCTTATTCATTAGGCCCTGGAAAGTTGAAGGAGCATTAGTCAGCGCAAATGGCATGACTAAGTACTCATAATGACCCTCATGGGTTCTAAAGGCTGTCTTATGAGTATCACAGGCTCTCATCCTAATCTGATGGTATCTTGACTTTTAAATCCAATTTAGAAAAAATTCTGGCTCCTCCAAGCTCATCTAAAAGTTCTTCTATAACTGGAATAGGAAACTTATCAGGTATAGTAACCTTATTAAGAGCCATACAGTCCCCAATTTTCTCCACATTTAAAGCATAAGCCCTTCTTACTCCTCTCTATCAACTCCTCCTGAGATAGTCTAGGGCCATTCCTCTTCACACTTACATCCTTCACTTTAGTTTTGTTATTGTTGTCATTTACCACCTTAGTTAGAAGTGTTATTGTTGCTATCACTCCAATTCTGTCCTACAGTTGGATTGCTTCAATAACAGTTGGATTAGCAATCCAACTAATCCTCTGGCCTTTCTTCTTACCTTCCTCTCTACTCCTCACAATAACAACTTCATTTTTTTTTGTTCTCAATCAGTGTGGCTTTATTCATAACGTCCGCTAAAGTTCTGGTGGAATGTAGTTTCAATCTAGCTCTTATATCTCTCCTCAGACCTTTCAGAAAAACTCCCTTTAACACTTCCTCAGTCAAGTGTCCATGTGATGCAATAGCAGTTTCAAACTGATCTCTATACTCAGCAATAGAACCTTTCTGCTTCAAACTCAACAAAGGTCCCAACGGATCCTGTACCAACTCAGGCTGGAAGCGTATGGTCAATTCCCTCGTGAATGAGTCCCAAGTCTGATGATGTGCTTGTCCTTCCCATCACTGGAACCAGCTTAGAGCCTGATCCTCCAGGGCGATAACGGCCACATCAATTTTCTCCTCTTCCTCAGTTCCGTTCAATCGAAAATATCGATTCATCCTTAGTAACCATCCGCAAACATCTTTTCCATTGAAAATTGGCAAATCAATTTTCCTTCCAGTAGTGTTATGATGTCTAGGGTTCCTCCTTTGCTCATGGACATGTCGCGACGCTGATTGATTAGAGTGATTGTCCGCACTATCCGAATTATCCTCATTCCTCGAATTTCTGTGACGAGTAGTTCGATGCGATCGGTTTGATCGATGCGAATGACTCCTCGATCGCTCGCCGAACATGACCTGTCATGCTAGCTTGCATCGCGGCTACATTCGCGGCTATATTCTCCAATCTCCACACTAGTCTGCAATTCCCGATGATCTCTTCCGAAATCAGTCAAAGTTCTCTCCACCTCATTGACTCTTCCTTCCATCTTCGAGCGCGTGTGTCTCATCCAACGATCGACGTGCTCTGATACCAATGATAAGAACCTCGCAATTCACAGAAATAATCACAGGAATATGAACAGAATGCAAAAGAAACCAAAACTTTATTAACAATGGTGAACCGTGTACAGAGCTCCAAAGAAGGAGATAAAACTCCAACTTCCCAGTCCCAGACTCAAAGTCTAAACAGCCTGCCTTCCCTCTGCAGCTTTATGCTATTTATAGCCTTCTAAAATAGAAGGTAGTTATTAGTTACAACCGACCCGACTAATAACTAACTAGTCTACTTTGGCTTTCTAGAATAGACCTGCCCATAGAATGTATCTTTATTAAGTTGACTAGCGGGTTCCTAATCATTTTCCTGCAACAGGATGGAATATCATATGGAATCTGATCAATCATGTGAAGACAAAATTTCATTTAAAAGAGATCAGAATGCTCCCCCATAAACTATAAGATATTAAAATTTTATATTTCCTTTTGGGTTAAACTTTGGCCCTTAATTTATGAAGTAGGTCTCTGTTTATTTGTTTATAATACACACAAGTATATGCATAAATAGATTTTGGTTGAAATAAGGATATGATCTTATCATCTTATGAGTTATGACTTATGAGAGACATGAGAATCAACTTAGTGCATTTAATTTGAGATCTGAAGGCTCAAAAGATGTCAACTATGCATCAAATTTGATAAAAATGTATTTTTACTTTCGTAAATAGACCAAACTTTTCGGTCATTTCAGAAAGTTACTGAAAACATTAGAGTGGTTCATGCTGATGTAAAAGTGCAGCCTTCACATTTCCCACTTGAAACATCATTGTCAATGGAACTTGACCCTGTCCATATATGCATCACCCGAGCTCTTGTTTAACTAGTAGGGCCTCTTTATTTTGCAGAAAACCCCAAAGGATAAAGATGCTAGTTTGGTAATCCATGGATTTGTAGATAAGGTATCATTTATATTTTTCTCTATACTGATTTATTTTAAGAAATAGAGGTTAAACAAGCATTCAATCCCAGGAGTTCACGTGTGCTTATGAACAGGTAATTGCAGGGGTCATGAACTTTCTCAGACTGCAAATCCCACCTTTTATTAGAATTGATCTTTTCCAGACCATCTTTACTCAGGCTTTAAGTCTAGGTAAAGTTCCTAGATCTATACTTCTGTCCATGAGTCAATCATAGTGTACTCTCTAAGTAAATGCTATATTTACTCAAGTTGAAGGTTGTATATGTTAAATTCTTTTTGACATGACCTCCATACCCTCCTTAAACTTTGATGCACTGATTACAAAATGTTTGCTCATGGTTTAGGTTCGATCCACTTATTTCTTATAGTAAGTTTATTTATCTTGTAGATAAAAAATATGTTAACTGGACACTTAGGTTAACAAGCATCCATGGAAAAAAAGCCCCATTGCCTTTTATCAAATCTGTGGAGGTAAGTTTTAGTTCTATAATTACTTCTGCTCTGCATTTTCATCTCATTTACCAAGATTTCTGCCATCTCTACGCCATAAGCAACTTAACTGTTTTTATTTAAACTATACTTATATTCTCATGTTCCATCATTTCCAATGGAGCCAAAGACTCACTATTTTTTGACTTGGGAATATGATGGAATGAAGCAAAATGACTTACTAAACTGTATGTGCTTCTTTGTTATGAAGCAACATTCGGTCCATGCAATTTTCGACGTGATTTTTATCATGGGTCATCCGGAAATAGTCTCTCCCTTCTTTAGTGCAGGGGTAAGGTTGCACACATCCGACCCCCCTTATGCCCACCGTAGGTGGGAGCCTTTGCGGCACTGGGGTAATGTTGTAATGTTGTTGTTGTTGTATGCTTTCATTCTCATATTTGCCAATCTAGTTGGTGTTTTGAGATGTGGAAAGATTTGTTTATGATACGGTTGCATGTTTGTGTTTTACTTCAAGCACCACTTCGTCCATCTAATTTTACTTGAGGCTAACTGATTTTTTTTGATGCACTGGGAATGACATTCTAGGTCTCCTTCTCTGAGAGTCCAAACATGAAAGCAGCTATTTTAGATAAGGAACCTCTTCGTCTCAAAAGGTACCATAAATTGTCTTCTGGTGTAAAACTCTATGACTTGTTGGTAGATGTTTGCTATTTAATCAACAGCTAAAATGTAAGTTGTACCTGCTTGTCATAGTTTTTGTGGAAATCAAGAATGGAAGCCAAAAGTGTTATATCTTGATGAACGGTAAAATGGATTTAAAGAATTATTGTCATTTGGACCCTCTTTTAATCTCTAATCACCTTTTGATCTGTAATAAAAACGCTTTATGACAACCAACTTGAATTCCTTCTATTAACTCATTATTAATGTATAGTTTCAACCTATTCTTTATCTCTATTGATCTCGAATATGATCCCTTGATTTTTATCATCAATGCATTTCACTGTTCCAATGTCATTTATAGATCCATTAACCAAAATATCTTTAACTACGACCAGTCAACTAATTATGCACTTCAACATTATTCTATCAAACAACGTTATTGTTTATGGATCATTCATTTTTCCCTAGTGCTGGAAGCTGCAACTTATAAGATAATGTTCGAATTTGAATGTCAATATATGAAAATGAGCACTTTGAGGTTCTTTTAGATGATCAAAGTATCAAATGTAATACAAACTTTGACGTGATTGAGTTTATATTCATTGAAATTATAGTGCCATCATTGAAGTGTTTCTTTTCAGGAGGACAGTAAAGACAGCAGACCCTTTTGACATAACTTTCAGACTGAACTTGAGTGAGGGTTGCAAATGTACTTGTGCTGAAACAAAAATTCCAGTTAATTTTATGGTAAGATGCGTTGAGATACCCGCCCCTCCCTCCTAAAAAAATTGTCTGCATGATTTAATGCATGAAACCGCTCCCTAAGAAGTTGAAGATACATATTTTCTATAGGAAGTAGAGCTGATGGCGTTTAAATACAGGACTCTGTAAATAATTTCAAGGGCGACAATGGTTTGGTCTTTGACAAGCTAAGGAGAGAGGCTATGGCTGACCCAAACTGTGGGCAGACTGCGCTATTTGAGAGAGAGACCATCTTGGTTCCCAAAACCGACATATTTGTCCATGCCATTGTAACTAACATTGTGAAATATGAAGCAAATCAGAGTTCAACCAATGGGTTGAAGAGGAAACATGAAGGCTTTAATGGCACTATCCCTTCTCGGAAGCGATCAAAACGCCACTGGAAACCCAAACATCCGTTGATAAATTAGGCCATACATTGATATTTCAGCATACTGTAAATAGTTTAGCGCCACTCGATGATGCTTCACTGGTAAATGTTAATTTGTAGGAGCCGAGTGAATTTTTGTAGGTCTCACACACACACTCGGGGTAGCTTATACTGAAGAAATATTAATATATTCATAGTTTTTTTTTTGGGGGGGGGGGGGGGGGGGGGGGGGGGTTGTCTCATTGTGGTAATTGTTTCCGGCATCCGTGATGTGGTCTCTACTTTTCAAGCATGTAGTATTATAAAATACTCCCTCCATCTTTAAGGTTCTCACTTTCATGAGCATTTCATCTAAACTCTAAAGATTCTCATTTCTATTTTAGAAAATAATTATCACTCTTAAATGATAATTTATTGCTACGTAATCATATATTAAAAATAATACATTGATAATATTACAATTTTCATCAATGACCTTGTTATATTGTATATGCATTAAAACTGTTTTCTTAAAATATACCCTATTCATCAGATTTAATTTTTACAATGAGAATCTTAACTTCGGATAGAGCTAGTATTAAATAGTACTCCTTGTCGTGTATATCACCTTTTTTATTCATCCTACTAATAAGTTTGTGTTGTACAAATATTTAGTAATATTTAAGTAGTTGCAATTCATTTTATCTTTATTAACATTATCAATTTAATATCAACCATAAAATTTCAGATTGCATCGCTATCCTTAGGGGTGGATTCGGTTCGGGCCACCCGGTAGTGGTGGACTCGGTTCGGGCCGGGCCTCTGTTCAAGGAAGGCAGGCCCGGAACCAACCTCGGTTCACGGGCCGGGCCTATTTTTTTTTTAAATATTATATAATTAGAATAATTCTTATTACAATTACAATATATTATATTCGAATTGAAGTATATTTATTTCAAATAAGAAGTACAATTGAGAATTAGGATGAATTTAAAAAATGTAATACATTTTGTAATAAAAAATCAATCGGACTCTCCGCCTTCGGTTGTTTCCTCAATAAAGTGGCGGGTGGGAGTGATGGTAATTTCTTGAGTTCTTCGTTGGGCCTTCAACCAATCGTGAAAGCAAACTAGTGTCTCAAGAGAGCTCGGACTCAATATATAATATAATGTATAACTATATATAGTATATATAATATAATGCGTAAAGAATTATAATATGAATGTGTATAAGTATATATTTATAAGTAGATAATTAATATATAAGTAGATATAATAATTATATAAATTATATATATGTAGAAAGAATTTGGAGAAGATGAAGAATGAAGATGATTGAATATGAGAGATTGAGAGAATAGAGAATTTAGAGAGTAGGAAGAGTTGTAGAAGAAGAGGTGTAAAAAATGTATAGAAAATAGGAGTATAAATAGGTTTTTTTTTGTATACCCCACCCCACCCCCTAACCCCCAGACCCCCCCTCCTATGCTCCCAACGGCTATAGAGCCGTTTGGGAGGTCTCCCAACGGCTAGTAGAGCCTTGAATTATTTAATTTTTTTTTAAAATGGTGACCGTTGAGGCCCGGCCGGGTCGGTTCACCAAAATATGAGCCCGGGCCCGAATCGCTACATGACCGGGCCGGGTGGCCCGAACCGTGACCTAACCGACAAATCGGCCCGGTCCGGGCCCGCACAGTAGCGGGCCGGTCCGGTTCTGGGCCGGTTGGCCCGACCCGAGTCCACTCCTACCACCCGGCCCGTGACCCGGCCTAGCCCGGTACTGTGCGGGCCCAGGATCGGCCCGGTCGGGCGGTCCGGGACCGGGTGTAGACCCGAACCGGTGGGAATGGGCGGGGCGGGCACGGTTCCGGAAAAATGCGACCCGGCCCGGCCGGGTCGGGCCCGGGTCCGGGTCCAACGGTCATATTTAAAAAAAAAATTAAATGGCTACTAGCCGTTATGGGTGTGCTGGGGACAACCCAAACGGCTACATAGCCGTTGGGTGGGTCTTGGGGGGGGGTCCGGGGGGGTCCGGGGGGTTGGGTGGTGGTGGGGGGTGGTGGTGGGGGGTGGGGGGTAAAAAAACCTATAAATACTCCTAATCTTAAACATTTTTTCATATCTCTTCTCCAATTCTTCCTAAATCCTATTCTTAACTCTCTACTCTCTAATTCTCTTATTCTCCATTCTCCAATATATTACATTTATTATTTATAGTTTATAACTTTATATTAATTATCTACTTATATAAACTATAAATATATATAAATAGTATTATATTACTTAAATTTGTTATCTAATTATATATTACTTATATATTTATTATATCTATTAATATAGTTGGAATTATATCTAATTAATTTGAAGTCATTCTATTACTCCCATCCGAAAGACCGAAAGTCCGAAAGAGGTACGAAATTATTCTATTATTTACACTTGTTTAATTTTGTATTAACGTTACTTGAAAAAAAAACTAGTTAATTAGGTTGTACAATTTGCTATAACTCGAATTAATAGTTAGATTAATATATTGTACAAAATTCTAGTATTTACATTTGACTCTAGTTTAAAAAACTAGTTGTAATTCTAATTATAGTTAAAGTTAAAGTGTATTAATTTCATTGTTAGTAAAAAATATATATTGTACACAAAACTAGTTAATTCACTAGTTAATTTGCTATAACTCGAATTAATAGTAAGATAAATAGTTAATTACTTTTTTACAATTTTTTATTAATTGCTACATTTGACTCTAGTTTAAAAAAATATGTTGTACACAAAACTAGTTAATTCACTAGTTAATTTGCTATAACTCGAATTAATAGTTAGATAAATAGTTAATTACTTTTTTACAATTTTTTATTAATTGCTACATTTGACTCTAGTTTAAAAAAATATGTTGTACACAAAACTAGTTAATTTGCTATAACTCGAATTAATAGTTAGATAAATAATTAATTACTTTTTTACAATTTTTTATTAATTGCTACATTTGACTCTAGTTTAAAAAAATATGTTGTACACAAAACTAGTTAATTCACTAGTTATTTTGCTATAACTCGAATTAATAGTTAGATAAATAGTTAATTACTTTTTTACAATTTTTTATTAATTGCTACATTTGACTCTAGTTTAAAAAAATATGTTGTACACAAAACTAGTTAATTCACTAGTTAATTTGCTATAACTCGAATTAATAGTTAGATAAATAGTTAATTACTTTTTTACAATTTTTTATTAATTGCTACATTTGACTCTAGTTTAAAAAAATATGTTGTACACAAAACTAGTTAATTCACTAGTTAATTTGTTATAACTCGAATTAATAGTTAGATAAATAGTTAATTAGTTTTTTAAATTTTTTTATTAATTGCTACATTTGACTCTAGTTTAAAAAAATATGTTGTACACAAAACTAGTTAATTCACTAGTTAATTTGCTATAATTCGATTTAATAGTTACATAAATAGTTATTACTTTTTTACAATTTTTTATTAATCGCTACATTTTTTAGATGGATCGTCCTAGATATTCGGTTGATATGGGTAACCTCGAGCGCAACCGAACGAAAGAGCTTGCGAGGAAGAGATCCCGCAAAGGTAAATCACATATCGGCTCTTCATCTCAATGTCGAGATGATTTTGATACGGGTTACGCAAGGAGGAATGTGGATGCGATGACCGACGAACAACTAGAACAAGAATTGCACCGACATAATTCCCGCTTTTTTCAAGACCAACCGAGGACCATTGACGAAGAAGAGCTCGAGGCCGAGGACGACGATGTGGAGGAAGTAATTCCGGAGAGCCACGACGACGAGGAGGAGGAGGGTGGCGGCAGCCATGACGCCGACCAACCCGCCTCATCCCAAACATGTACAAAAAAAAGTAAATATGAACTAATGGCTAATAATTTTTCTAAGTGGAAGGACCCGAACACCGGGAATTGGACCGCAACTTGCAATTGGTGCAAGAAAAACTATAGCTTGGGGATTTCCGGCGGATACGGATCCGCCACAAGACACCTTAAGTCCAAACACCCGGTGGAGTATGCAAAATTAGGCGGCGGAACGGGGAAGCAAACGCAAATATCGAGGTTTGCAAATAACCAACAAGCTTTTGGTAATTTCTCATACAATGAAGCACAAAATTTGACAGGTATGGCTAACTTACTTGTTGAAGAAAATTTGCCTTATTTGTTTTCTGAAAGTCTTGCTTTTCGTGATTATGCACAAACTTGTTTAAATCCGCAATATAGAGGTTATAGTCGCAAAACGGTTAAGAAAGAAATTTCAAGGCTTGGTGCGGAAAAGGTGAGGTTACAAAATTATTTTGCAAACTTTGATGGACGTGTTACTGTATGTTCTGACATATGGGAGGATACTTATCATAATTTACATTATTTGGGTCTGACTGTACATTATATTGATAATGATTGACATATGCATAAACTTGTTTTTGATTTCCGTGAATTTAATGATCGTCACACCACTGAACATATTTATATTTTGATTGAGCGTATTTTAATTGAGTATAATTTAATTGATAAGGTGTTTGCTATTGGTTTTGATAATGCTACTAATAATACTGCTACTATTCCTAGATTGCGTGAATTGTGTGGTTCTACTTCTTTGATGGGTAGATTTTTTCATCAACGATGTGCATGTCATGTTCTAAATTTATGTGTGCAAGATGGTCTAAAAGCGTTGGGAGCATCGTTGGAGGTAGTCAAGGGGGGGATTAGACGTATTTGGGGTAATGGACAACTTAGGAAAAAATGGCATGATTATTTGATAGAAAGAGGTGAGAGATATGTGGCTTTTCCTAAAGATTTGTCTATTCATTGGAATAGTACCTATAAGTTAATTGGAGTTCTTCTTAGATATAAACAACATTTTCCTGCTTTTATGAAACAATATGATAACTATATTATAAACTCGGCTGAGATCGACACCTGTGAAAAAATTTGTAATGCTTTGATATATTTTAATAATGCAACTGAAACTTTTAGTCATGTTTATAAACCTACCTCAAACAAATCTATTCGTGAAGCTGTTAATCTCGCCGGTGCTTTTTCAAATTTTGAGAATGCTGATTATGTGAGTTATTTTGCTAGTTTTATGAAGGAAAAGTTTTTAAAATATTATTCACATATTCCGCATATTTATGGTATTGCATTTGTTCTCGATCCTCGTTTTAGACTTGGTTCTTTAGAAG